GCTTTACTTTTATAGTTAACTAGTGACCCGGTTCTGACCTGACCCCATTATTCAAAAGCCACAGAGGATTACGCTCAAGCAATTAACGAGAAGATTGCAACTATGCCAAGATTCATGGATAGTCGAACATGGATGCTTATGAAAGGGGATATCGTTTCTACAGGGGCCGAGGCGGAGAACTGCCGCAAAAATGCCGCCGGCATGCCACCGGCATGCCATTGGCAAGCTGTCCATCAACAAACAAAGGCGTTGTTTTCAGCCAAAACGCAATAGTATGACACCAAATTTGGTGTGTGCATGCGCGTTGGTGGACCGGAACTACGGGCCAAAAATTTATGAAAACTTATGTGAATGAAAGCTGTGCCGAACTTTTTTCTAAATTGGCTGGCACCGTGCCAGCTGGGTGCCAGCTGAGCTGGCACTGACACTTTGCTCACATAAGTTGCTCACGTAAGTTGCTCACATAGTTTTCATACTTTTTCACATAAAATGTATCTACACTGTAAAAGATTACATACGGAGAAGAAACAGTTTCATAATGTTCTCTTTTCAGCGTTTTATAGCAATTTGAAAACCACTCGGTCCGCTCCGCAGTCAAAAAATCGGCTTTTTCTGCTTCTCAAGATGTGATTCGACCACTTAAAAAGCTCAGAAAGCTGTGAAAAGTTCTTTTATGAAATCAGAAATGCATGAAAACACTACTACAATTTTTACATATTATAAAAATGGTGACGGGTTTTCAAAAGAGGTCAAAAGGGACTTCGTACGAAATTTTCAATATCAAACGGGACTTCGTTTTGAAATTTCCCTGGTGCCAGCTCGTGCCGAGCCCTGGTCACGGCGCAGGCGAGGGGTTTTTGGGAATGGATTTCTCAGCCGTAAATGAACCATTTGTCCTGCCGCTTGGGCGGTGCGCTAGTTAGGAAGTTAGTCGCTAGTTAGGTCAAAAGGGACTTCGTACGAAATTTTCAATATCAAATCAAACGGGACTTCGTTTTGAAATTTTCTTTCCCTGGTGCCAGCTCGTGCCGAGCCCTGGTCACGGCGCAGGCGAGGGGTTTTTGGGAATACTTTCTCAGCCGTAAATGAACCATTTGCCCTGCCGCTTGGGCGGTGCGCTAGTCAGGACCCCCTCATCAGTTTCCAGGCAAAAACCCATGAGCCCACATTTGCCTGTTCGCTGCCTTCAAGACCTGATTTTTACTGAAATAATGGTCTCCAAGCTTGACGAGCACAAATAAACAAAAATCGTCAAAATTTGAATTGGAACTACTTTGAGCCAAGTGTTAGGTTGTCAAGAAAATAATGTCGTTTTTTATTTGCTTGCTTTAACAAAGCAACCAGACTCAACCCAACAAAGGGTCATGGGTATTGTTCGAATGAGCAAAGGAAGCTCTACAAGATGGCGTTCATGATTTTTCGCCAAGCTCGACCCACGGAAAGTTCGAACTCAAAATCTAAAGATTTCCAAATGCCCGAAAAACCGAAAAAAATCAGATCTTCGTCCAAATAATTTCTACGGACCTCCCACTCGCACACATCAATACTTTCGATGTCTGTTATCCATATGTGCAGTTGCCGTATTTTTTCTTTGACTAGAAACTAAGAAAACGAAAATTTCCGTGATCTTCTCAAATTAGTGCTGAGCCGTTCTTGAATATGTAATTCTATACTACAAGTCTAGGTAAGCATTTTACGAAAAAACCGAGTTCAGCTTTTTTCTTCACAGTTTCAGTGCTAAAATCGACATTTCTCAAAAACTACCGCTCGAAATAGGCTGAAAATCTACAGTTATGCTTACCTAGACTTGTAGTATAGAACTACATATTCAAGAACGGCTCAGCACTAATTTGAGAAGATCACGAGAATTTTCGTTTTCTTAGTTTCTAGTCAAAGGAAAAATACGGCAACTGCACATATGGATAATCGTATGTATAGACATCGAAAATATTGATGTGTGCGAGTGGGAGGTCCGTAGAAATTATTTGGACGAAGATCTGATTTTTTCGGTTTTTCGGGCATTTGGAAGTCTTTAGATTTTGAGTTCGAACTTTCCGTGGGTCGAGCTTGGCGAAAAATCATGAACGCCATCTTGTAGAGCTTCCTTTGCTCATTCGAACAATATCCATAACCCTTTGTTGGGTTGAGTGTGGTTGCTTTGTTAGAGCAAGCAAATAAAAAACGACATTATTTTCTTGACAACCTAATACTTTCTAAGCATTCTGTACTAAGCAAACAATTGCTTACCCGCTTTTGAACAATTTTCTTTTCGCCAATTCTATGCCAATTGGTGCTTCAAAGATTTGACCTTTAGCCTCATAGCTTCTTTTGGAGAGCTGTTCTGCAGAAAAAACCAGATTTGGAGTAAGCGTTACGTATCTGGTGATTCAACCATTTTTCAACTCTGTCAGCTTAACGGGGTCGAGCTTAAGCTTAAGCGTAACCCTTAGAAGATCAGGCTGCCGTCGTTTTCGAAAGCTTGTGCCCGATCATCAATTTATGTTCAAATCTCAACTTCCTCCTTTTCTATGGAAGAAAAAATCAGTGAGAATCGGAGCAAAAACAGTAATACATTACAACGCGTACATCCGCGACTAAGACTATCAGTATCTATCCAAAGTCGAGCAAATGAAGTGGCACAAGACTACCGGGTGCCCTTCCCTCTCCCGAGTTCTGCCTTAATAGAATTTCCAGCTTTATCGCTTACCTACTCAGTCATACCATAGAAGCCATACCAAGCATAGTGAGTGACACTTTCTTAATTAGCATGACAAATGATCCTGTAGTAAGTTTTAGCGAAATTTGAAGTATCTATTAGTTCGACTAATAAGTAATTGCAATCGCTTTTGTGGCTCCTGCAAATGCTCCAGACAATTTTTTGTCCAGTATTCGCATTCCTTTAATGAGAATCGGAATGTAAGATTCGGTTGAATAGAATCTGATTTGCAAAGAAAGAATTACGCAGAGGAGCTAGTAATCCCAAATTTGTCATTGTGCTGAAATATGAGAAAATTGGTTTTTTCGGTCAAAGATTTTTGAAATGGCAAATCACAGATTTTATATCAGGTTGTCCCGAAAGTTTTGTCCGTTTTTTCACCACTCACTAAAACTCACAGAACACCAATCCATGAACGACTTAGGTACCATTTGACTCAGGTTTTCATCCTCTTTCTTACAGTTATATCTGCACTCTGATCTACCCTGTCTTTGCAATGTTGTCGCCATGACTTTTTGATCAGTTTAGCAGTAACGCTAAATTCTTCCGAATTTCAAAAGTTTTTATCCTGATGTTTTCAAAGAGCGCTAACGTTATGTAGAACAAACCTTTGACTACATTGCATCCATTTTAAATTGCATGGGCTACGTTTACCAAGTCCGTTATAATTATTTATTTGATAAAAACCGCGGCTTTTCGATTACCTTTACCAAGTAAAATTACCAAAAATTCCAAAAAGCTGCTTTCTCAAAACAAATCAAACTTGGTTATGTTGCATAAATAATGTGCAATAAGAATCATGTTATTCGCAGAAACTTCAAAAGCTTTCATGTATTGTACTGCAACTGCGTGTTTCATGACTTTGCCAAAAATCGAGACTTCCAAAGAAGTAATTTTTTGAAGCTAAAAACAGCGATTAGCAGAATCTAAAACTATTGCCTTGTAGTCCGAGAAATGCCCTATTTGATCCATACTTGACCCTTTCCGAAAGTTTGGAACAAAATTTTCATAGCCAAACTTTGAGCAGATAAAATTGACGGGTGGAGAATTTTGGAAATTATCAAAAAAGCGTACAAAACTGTGGCTATCCATAAGAAAGAGAAGGGAAAGCTGCATCGAATGTATGTTAAAACTTATTCGGGTCTTTACTGTGCGTGGTTTTATAGTGGTTTGAAAAAATGGACAAAACTTTCGGGACAATTTAATAGTTATTCGCCAATTGAGGAGTACTTATCTTTGTCCCAATACCAAAATGCAGTTCTCTACATCCATTACAGCATGAAAACGAAGCTCAAAAAGCTGCAGAATTGCGCTTTGAGAATTTCGGCCAAGTTGTGGTATAACTTTCCTTTACCGATAAGTGAAAATCCTGAATAGTCGATGTGTGGTAAAAGAAGCTTTGAACTACTTCCTCACAAAGAGTTGCATAGTAAACAACTAGAACAGTTGATGCCAAAGAGATTATTTTTAGCCAATTCAATAAATATTGAGGCCCCAAGTGGAATGTCCATTTTGAATATAACATCTTATGGCAAAGGAGTTAGCTACACTTTTCCCTCAATACAAAACACTACCCCTACTTGTCGTTCATCAGAAAAATACTAAAAATACCTGAAACTAGGGTGGTATTATGTAGAAATTAAGCGAAATTACTCGTATTTACGCAATCTTTGAATGTACTTAAACATGATGTAGGCCGCACCGGCTGCGCGAGCCCACGAGTTGAGACTGCGCGACCGCGTCGCAGGTGAGAAAGTGGTATTCGAGCTCGAGAACAGAGCTGTACTTAAACAAGCCGCCCTAAACCTTTTTTTAACTTTTCTTTCGTTGCCTTTGCTGCCTGCATTCGATTGCTTTCATTGTTTCTGCCTCAACTATAGTTCATCTCGGAAAATATCGCGCAGTTAGGTAGAAGGGAGACTACTATTAGATGCGCTAGTCCTACACTATGCTAAGAGGATCGCAAATGGAATTCATCTTGAGTCACAGTTCTTGACGGTCATAAAGCTCCTGGAACTAATCAAGACAAATATGGCGTCACTTACGCGTTCCACTTCTCAAAAATACAATATTGCTATCAGAGCTCAATAATCATATGAGTCAAAGATCCACAGACATCCATAAGAAAATATACATATAACGAAAAAATCTCGAAAAGAAAAAATAATTTGAATTGTTCGAGAATCTAACTATAGGCCAGCTTTAGTGCTCGGGTACCACTTCCTTATATCATATCGCAGGCACCCGCAACCGATGCTGCTGATACAGCCTTTACATTTGTATTCGCACTGCAGGGAACCCTTTATTTTCAACTATGCATAATAGTCAAGATCAAGAGAAACAGAGCATGGTCCATTAAAATCTCCAGCGTACTGTTGCATGTAAAAATCTGTCCATCCACCAAAGGGTTCGAAGTCGCTGTACTAAAAAATTTTGTTCATTGGATATCCATGTAAAATTTTGAATCAAAACCCAACAACCCAACAAATCAACTCACTCGTTCCCCATCATTGTTACCCCAAAAAGACCACCAAAGTTTTTTATGTTTCCACTTATCCCAGTCTCCAACGATAGCGTTCCAGTTACGTTTATTGGTGTAGATTCCCCACTCGACCCCCATCTCCTGAAATGCTCTGGTAAAACACCAAAACTAGTGCATTGTTCCTAGCTGTTGAATTTGTAAACTTCCATAGTCCATAGCTGTTCATGTTGAAGGCTAAGTTTTCTCGAGTGAATGCTTTTTTGCATGTATCACTTTGCTAGAGGGAAGTTTGTAAAGATTTGCGTAAAGCTTGCGGACAAAGTTCTACATAGATTTTGTCTTTTTACAGTCCCGAAATAAAAGTTCTCATTTTTTGCATTTACAAAAAGGAAATGACGGTATTTTTCTAACACTTTACACCATTCGAAAGATCTAAACTTTTACGTTTGCTCGCCAAGTAGTTGGATCTATGATATAACAATCACAGTCTTCGATACACTCACTACAGCCTGAAAAGAAACTTGTAAACACGTCAAACAAAAGCGTGTTTTTGACAGCTTAGCCCTACTTGGTAATTCTTCCGTCCCACTAACAGCAAAACTTGAACAGCCTGGTATAAGATGGTGGGATGAATTCCTGCTTGGAATATTTCGTATAGTGAACATGTATAGATTTGATAATCCAACAATTTAGACGTTAAGGAAGAAACCTCTGATCGCATTGTGGCAGGCTTGCTGGTGAAAGTTGTGCATCTATTGGAGAAAACAACGCAACTTACATCTAGTTTTTGACCCATAGCATCAATGGTATTACGGTTCCCTTCCTTGTCACTCGGCCAATCGAGCATCTGTATGTCCAGAAACACCATTCCATATTTAACACCTTCATCATTCAAACGATTTATTGTTTCTTCAACCTGCGACAATTTACCTTTGGGAACAATAAGTGATTTCGTTTGGCTAAAGGTCGCGAACAAGCAAAACGAGAAGGACATACCTGATCTTGCACAGGTGCACATTTTGGAAAATCCAAGCAAGGGAAAATGTAAACGCTCACGTAAAAGCCGGCTGAAATAACGAAAGTGCTGTTCTTGCACGTTACCATAGAAGATGAGTGGTAAATCGACAACAGAGTTTTCACCAATAAAATTTAATGTGAACAGCGACCTTCAAACGCATTCTTGATGTTCTGTAAGCCGTCCCAGTCAAATTCTCCCAAACTCTTCCATATTCTACCGATAAAAAACATATAACCATTGTCTTTCAAGCACTGGAACTTGTCGATGGATAAATTCTGGAAACAAATACTTTTGATGGCCTCTCATGTTCAATGAGAAATCACAATCAAACTGTTTTTGGGTACTAGATAAATCTTGAAATTACTGTCCCCGACGTATATTCAATCAAGTTGTAAATCTAAGCATTACTTAATTTTTTCTCATATCTAGCTCAAATACTCTTTTTAGTTAGACTGCGCTACCGCAGGAACTCCAAGCAAGATCAGGAGAGTTCAAGATTGAAAAAAGAATGAATAAGGTTGTCTCAAATCAGCTTGAGCAAGTATACCTTATGACATTTTCTTCCTGACAACTTATTCAATATTACGAAGCTTACTCTAACAAGAAGATTCAATTTCTATGCAACACAGGAACTAAATTCTAACCTGCACAGTATCAAATCCCTTGATGGCAGCAGAAATGCCGAATAAAGCTGCCAAAACGATACACCGAAAATCTACATATTGTATTGCAGTAAGTAACAGACCAAATATAAAACTCACAACATATTATGGCAAGAATACATGAACTTTGCACCCAGAGCCTTGACTTTGCTGCAATTGTTTGTGGATGTAGAGAGCATTAGCAGTTAATATTGGGTCTTTAGGACGCGCACTCACACGATGAAGGTAACAAATAAAAGCATACTTTTTCATCGCATGCGAAAGGCAGAGATGCAGATGCGATGTTTTCTTTACACGAAAAGAAACAAAGAAAAGAGGGCGGATAACAAGAATAGGCTGCGCGAGAACTGTTGATGCTGTACAAGGATTTTTTCCGCATGAGAGCTATGCGACTCAAAGAAAAATCCCAAAAAATGATCTACGCAAAGAAAACTGCACGAGCTAATGCCTGCAGGCTCGACTATCCAATGTACCGTACATTATGTACGCTCTAATTAGTTGATTAAGAATTTCCTTGATATTCTGCGTAACCAGTACACTGTCTGGCGAGAGCGCCTATCGATCAAAATATACACGGCAAGTGATAATTAAAAAAAGTTTGTTGTTTGGAGAAGGAGGAAGACAAGGGCAATTACAAAAAAGCGCAAGTTGACTCTATGATCAGTCCTTCCTAATCTGTGGAACTGCAGGCGTTAACAAGGAAAAATACGCATTTTACGTGGATCGTTGGTACCTTAATAAGACTTTGATTTTTTATGTAAAAAATGGGAAGGCCTCAACCATGGATGCCCAAGACCAGCTCATCTGGGATCTTCGTGGCCGAGAGATTTAATTTCGAATTTCTGTTTGGGCCATATTTTTTCACGGTGATCATCACCCTAAGGCACGGGTGAAGCACAGTGGGTTGGAGCTAAAGTTGAACATGAGCAGGAAGGAAACACATGAGCTGCCGCTTGAGCAAGGCTTTGTTAAAAACTTGCCATAAATTTGCGCGGATAGCGGGGTACCCGGATTCTTTTAACAATAATTTCAGACCTCAACTCGAGGTAGTTGTAGATTTCCATAAGAAAGAACCATGTCACACATATTCAGTGTTTTAGGAAGGGGTAATAAAGAGAAATCAAAAACTGCTTGATGATCTGATGCCTGCTGATTTGCGAAAATCAGTCAAAAAAGATAGATATAGAAAACAGTAAGCTCATTGCCAAGCTGACTGGTAGTGCTCAAATCGGTGATAGTCATCATTTTGTTCAAGCAGTTTATGTACATTTACGAAACAGAAAAAATACTTCAGAAATGGTATTAGACGTTTACACTCTAAGATAAGTTTGAGACTGTTCGCTCCCATTGACATTTTGACTTGTATAACCGGTATTATTTCTTCGGCGAACGTTTTTCTTTTATTCTGTGTTCAATGAATCGTAGTTCTGCATTCGCTCGCAATCAAAGAATACCGTTGCACGAGATGTTTTTCCAACGCCCTCTATCATTTTTTGCACTGATTAGTCAACCCAACGTCTTTTCATTCACTAAGAACAAAGTATGCTCCAAAGTTTGCCGATAAGAGGCTTTCTGTCACAGGTGCTTTCGCACGACTGTGAATACGTTAAAGCGTAAGAAAATGCATTACGAAAAACTTTTCTGTAAGTATTCCATAGAAAGTACGGAATCTGCTAGACTTTGCAATCCTTCTAACACACAACCTCGATACATCAACCAATTACAAACAACCCTCTATCTGTGATTATGAAGTCTGTTTTGAATGTGGTTTTGATGGATAGCTGTTACATCATTCAAGATTTTGCAACGTCGGAAACAGATTCTGCTATAGTCGTCCTCACCCCACTAGTCGCCCGCTGGACGAATTCGAATTCAAACTGAAACAGGTTGGTTGCGGCAGAGCGCTGCAACCCTCTGGTCAAATTTACGCATGGTTTTTTACCTTTTTTCTCCGTTTCTCGTCAATCTTTGAGGTAAAAGTATATCGCAGCTCGAGTGTTGTTTCGTTCTGCTATGCTCACTTCAACTCTTCACACGTATATTTGGAAAAACGATAAAAATAGGAAACTCTGCTGTAAACCTTTTTTGTAAGTAACATTGTAGAAATGTTGCTCTACTGAATTATACGTCACGAATTCGCCATCTCCATCGTTTCTCAAGCCCAACTAAACATAGCCGAGCACAGCGGCTAGAAACGACGCTCAACGACAAAACGTCCACCTCATTCAAAGTCATTGTCAGAATATATTTACCCAAACGACGGCAGAAAAACGGAAAAGGAATGCGTGAATACAAAATGAGGGTGACGTGCTGTTCTCTGCAGCGATCGTCTCTTTCAGTCCAGATTCATACTCGCCACCGAGTGACAGGTGGGATGAGGACGCCTACAGGAGCGACTTATTACAGCATTTATGCAAGAGAACGGGTGGAGGACTATATGTCGCTGAATTTGGAAGAGTCCTGCGCGGATTCCCTGCAGGAACGCATGTCCGCGCATGTACAAGGATGCGTATTTGTCGCAAATGACCGCGGGGACCGCCCTTTTTCGGCGACATATAGTCCTCTACCCCAAGAGAACTACTGAATTAAGACACACTGGAACGCAGTCTATTAGTTTTTTTTTTGCTAAATATAGTGTGCTAGCGGCCGAGATTTGACAGCCAAATTGGGAGGAAAACAAATAGCTACGCCTGTAATGCGCTCGCAAACTGTAGCAGTTTCTTTAGACGCAAATGTTGTCGGCACCGCAGGGAAACTTACAGGGTGTCCCAAGAAAATGTCTATTGTTTGATTGTTACTAACTCCACTAACTCTCTTGTGATAAAGTCTCGAGAAGCTTTAGGTACCATTTTGTAGAGGTGGCTTCAACTTACGATTAGATTTACAGTATAGTGCGAAACAAAAATCCCTCTTTTACTGTAGGATTATAGGAATTCCAGGGAGGGTTTTGGGTAAATGAGTATCATATTTCATCCCTAAAATAGAGCGAAGCCGAAAGCTAGTGCACTAGGTTAATCAAAGTCGCTTATTCCAAACATGAGACTCGCACTTCACCGTGACGCATTTTCATAAGTTATGCCAGATATACCAACAGATACCAGATATATCATACAACAATCAATTTCTGCTACTCGTCAAAAATCTGATTAGACCATTTAGAAAGCTCTACGGAAGCGCAAGAATTTGTGTACTGAAATCAGCACGCATGAAAACCTTGTTACACAATTTAAGTTTTTTTTTGAAAAATTTTTTAAACGGCCTCTTTCGCAGTGGTACCATGTGCTGCAAGTTCCTATCGTGCTCCAACAGCCATGAAGATAGATTCTTGAATCGCTCCATACTGCAAGTCTAAGTTGAAGCCGCTCTACAAAACAATGTCTAAAGCTTCTCGAAAGATTTCATTACAAGAGAGTTATTAACAATCGAACATTAGGCACATCCTTTTCGGACACCCTTACATCAACCGCCAGGTCTACAGGCGTATGAACTGAAGCTCAATAACATACATCTTTATCTTTGCATTTCTCCGCTGGTTAAGTTGGTGTTGCTCTAAAGCGAACTCCAACAGAGAATTTGTCATCAAGCGAAAAACGCGAATTGTAGAAATACCTCAGACTTTTTTGATAAGTGTTTCAACTTTCTTAGCCGAACTTGTCCGTTTTCTGTAGTCTTTCCTTTCCCATTCTGCTTGACAGCGTCGTTTCCGTTGAGTTAATTCACTAAGGTGATGCTGTTCGAAATCCTCTTTTCCCACGACACCGGTGACGGTCGACAGTGGCATCACCTCGACTGTGTGCATTTCTCTCGAGTTATGTACATCGTGACTGCGGTTCGTCCTGTCCCTGACCTTACTGCCGAGGTCTTTTGAGGTTACTCGGCTGGCAGCTGATTGTGAGTTGCCAATTTCGGTCTTAGTGTTCCTGATGAGAGTGGGGGATCCGCCTATACCGACAACTATGATGAAATTAAGTCGATGATATCGTAAATCATGGACAATGCTCAGCGTACTTGCCGTCTAAAGGTGAAAAACTTTCGCTACGTCAAATTTCATGATGAAACCTTCATGTCAACATGCTGAAAGCAGTGTGCAAACCCCAAACTGCCTTATAACATCATAATCAAGGAATTTTTATTATTTTGACAGTCCGCCTAAGGAAGGCGGCTCATGAAAGGACAAAGCACATGAGCTATACAGCCATAGATAAAGGATAAATATAGCGTATATGGAATACGAGTATGTTAGAAGGGTGGTAGCTAATAGTGACTCCAATAATATATAAAGATTCAATAACACCTATAGATACATTGATGTGAAGTTGATATATTGATATTGATATATCAATATATCAATATATACCAGTGGCGTACCGAGGGGGGGGGGCGGGGGGGGGCGCGCGCCCCCCCCCGAGAACGGGTCGCGAAATTTTTGAAAGTTACTTGCATGGGTTATAAAAATGTGCAAGTGACTTGTTTTTACTTGTAAATAATTAAAATAATTTTTAAAATTTTTTAAAATTTCATTTTAGCCTTATAAAAAAAAATTTTTCGGGGGCGTGGCTGACGCCACGCCCCCTTTTTCCAGATTTTAGGGGTCGGGGACCCGGAAAAATTTTGAGAAGCACCCCAAAAATTTTTTCGGAGTGCGTGGCTAACGCCACGCACCTTCTTTAGAAAAAAATTTTTGTCGCGCCCCCCCCGAGCCGAAATCCTGGGTACGCCACTGATATATACCTATTGATACACGATGTGTCACACATTTCAAGAACCCATCTTATTCGAACAATCTCTTCAGGAAATCTATCAAAATGAACCTATCATAGAAAAAAATAATACAAGTAATACCGAAACCAGCTTTCTCGATCTATCGTACGAGTATTAGAGAGCAATATATCATTTGTTCTGTATAACAAAACAGATGCACACAATTTTGAAGTGCTGAGATATTCAGTCTGGCGTTACAACGTTACCAAACATATCATAATCAGGAGCACTTAGAATTTACAGAAACTGTTTAGATTACATAACCTTACAGAATCTTGCAATTAACAAGGGAATGGTCAGAATTCGAAGTGGCCAATCCCAACAAGCTGTATACCGTTGAACACTCCATGGAGGGCTGGATACATATCCGCGTTCACTATCTGCTTCTCGGTCTCCTACACGAAGTTATGGCTCTACATTCCGCTGTGGGGCCGCCGCGCATCATAAGTACTGCTCGCTCATCTAGCAGCTAAGATGGACTCATACCGCAGTGATAAGTGTGCAGACTCATAGAACGAGCTACCTTTTTATTTGCAAGTTCGATTCCTTTTGCTTGCTACTGTTTTGCAACCCATTCCCAATATCTATTTTGCTAGCGCGAAGTCCCCAACGTTGTTAAAAAGATAATTTAACATCTAAGGACTTTAGAAACTTTATTTTTTTGTAATTTGAGAGTACGAGCCAATTCGGATAAAAAGCGCACCCAAGATTTTTGATCGAAAGAATCTATCGCGTCAAAGCAAAAATTAGGTTGTTTTATCTCCACCTTTCTTGCTGCTTGCTCCTGTTCGCTCTTGCATTCTTATTCATCAACATTCCTTTGCTTTCACCATGATTATCCTCAACTCTCAAGAGAGTTTGTACGATAACAAATAAACTTTTGAAGTCTTTGAGTGTTGAACTATCTTTTCAACCTCGTTAGGGACTTCGCCCTAGCAATATAAAAAGGGAGCGGGTTGCAAAAGAGTAGCAAGCAGAAGGAATCGAACTTGCAAACAAAAAGGTAGCTGGTCTTATTCTGCACGCTTACTGCTGCGCCATGAGTCCACCTTAAATGCTAAGGTGGGCGAGCAGTACTTGTGATGCGCGGCGGCCCGGCGGAATCGAGGGCCATAACTTTGTGTAGGAGACCTGGAAACAAATAATTAAGGCGGATACCCAGCCCTCCATGGAGTGTTCAAAGGTATACAGCTTGCTGGGATTGGCCACTTCGAATTTCGACCATTCCCTTGTAAGCAAACTTTGTAAGAAAAATGGTTGGGAAAGGAGAATATCAATCAGAACATTGTGTCATGCCTTAAGAGATGATCCTTGCATACTGCGTAAATACGGTTTTGATGTAGCCCTTCCAGTGGCGGTCCGAGGAAGGGGGGCGGGGGGGGGGGAGCGCGCGTCCCCCCCCCCCGAGAATGGGTCGCGAAATTTTTGAAAATTACCTATATGGGTTATAAAAATGTGCAAACGACTTGTTTATTTTTGTAAATATTTGAAATAATTTTTAAAATTTTTTAAAAATTCAAATTCCGCCTTATAAAAAAATTTTTTGGGAGCGTGGCTGACGCCACGCCCCCTTTTTCTAGATTTTAGGGGTTGGGGGCCCGCAAAAATTTTGAGGAGCACCCCAAAAATTTTTTCGGAATGCATGGCACCTTCATTTGAAAAAATTTTTGTCGCGCTCCCCCCCCCGGTCCGAAATCCTGGGACCGCCACTGAGCCCTTCATACACCATTGGTCCACGAAAAAAGGAAACTCTGGTTCGATTCAAGATTAATTCCGGACAAATATTATGGCGCAATACAAGGTCATCATACTAGTTCAAGTTTCGGGCCTAACACTAATGCTTGAAATTAGCTGATCTGCTAGCAGCCACTTAGTTTTGAATGAAAAGAAAGAAAAAACTTATGGTATTTCACCTTAGCTTCAACCCTTAAAGGCACCGTCCACCCAAAGAGGGGTTCACGAGATTCGATGGCATACTAATGTGGGCCCCCACACTAGGCCAATGTACTGTTCCGTTATCCGGACCCATTTTTTAAAGGAAGGATATCGCTTTTTTTCTTGTACCATATTTGGCCCCAAATTCACAGGAAGGAGTGTCAACCTTCTGGCACGTGTCAAAAAAAACATGTCATCTACATGTTTAACAGGTTTTAACTTAAGGTTTTGTTTTGCACTGCCTAGCAACGTAAATGCAATCTGTATTCAAGTCAATAGTGACCCCAATTTCATATAAAGGATTTCAGAGATAACACTGTTATAGTATTAACGCCATCCTGTTATCAGTGAACAGATTAGATTTGCCCAGAATGGAGAAGTGTGCTAGGATTTCATTATCCAGCGGCGAAGCAGCAGCGAAATACCGCAAGCCATCATTCATAGTCTCTCCTAACTAAATCGCATGGAGGAAAGTTTGAAGAGGAAGACAAGTTTTGAATTAATGCCGAAAGCAACTAAGGTGTTTTGCTATACTAGACAGTTTTGCTTTTATAGAAAATAGTTGAAAGGCTTTTAGGTGGTCACAAACGCTTTTTTACCTCACCGGAAATGATTTCGAAAAAACAAGTCAAAATGTGCTAAAACGTGTCAAATTTTTCCTGACACGTGGCGGGGAGGCAGCCTTCCTAGAATCTACAAAAAAATTATTCTTAGACTAAAGAACGTATGTTGTGAGAGCCTTTTGAAAAAATGGGTCCGGATAACGGAAAAGTACCGGCCATCCCCTAGTTTCCCCGCGAAAAATTGCTTCCGGAGCGAGAAATCCTCTCCGGAAGGTATGTAATCCAGAGCTGGTCACTCCGCCCATTTTGCAGGTTAGGCGGGCTGCAGCGCTGATATACGCAGGGGTAAACGCGCCGCAGCCCTGCACTTCCACCCGTCCTGCTTGCTCTCCAAAATGGGGGTTTTTGGGGTTTTCGGGGACTCTCGACTTCATATTCGAAATCAGGGCCTTCAGAACGCCCGGAAGCGACAAAACATGGAAGTCGAGAATTTGGGTGGACGGTGCTTTTAAGCATTCTCAGTCAAGGTAAACAGCACTGCAATATTTGACCTTCAACGTAATGCAACTGTATTTAAGCGCCAGAAGAAATAAGTCGCATTCAGACTTGGCATATAATAACAGGTAGGTGCTGGGATTTACGCATCACAATCTAAATCTTCTTACATTTTCTACTTTACTCATCAACAATCTCTCGTTTCTTTTCATCTCCTTCAATCCCTATAGAGAGACACGCAAAACTTTCTTTGTAAGCAAGCCAATTTTGACAACTTCTGTAGTATTCTTCGGAACTACTGAGCAGGGAACCAAGGAAGCTACTCCACTGGTCGTTCCAAGCCCGGAAACCGCGAGTGTAAAAAAGTGACTCAATTTCGAATTTATGCTCAAGGATCTCATTAAGCAGTACTCTTTCTTTTTCTGTTCCCCTTTAGGTTCACGTCAAGCTTTATGTCTATGGCTTTGCCTCAACATGCTTGCTAGCGACTATGCTTAGAGCCCAATATAAAAATAGATTGCAAGCCACGCCTACACGACAAAATGCTGGATTTTGCTCGGATTTTAAGAATTCCCGCGATTTTTGACATTTTTTGAAGAGTAGGCAGAGCTTGCCACCGAGGGGCGGGGGGTACCTAATAGCGGTAGGACCGAGGTTGAAGTCGCTTGCTCCGCGGTCATCGTCTTCTATGCATTTTGAGGACGTAAATTTCTTGTAGATGGCAACGGAGTGTGAGGAGCCTTCCCAAAATAGGGGCGAGGCCAACATGAACCCCTTAGCCTAAAGCGATTATATGAACACAATTAGAACGATTGGATTTTTTGAAATTGCAATTTGAGGTGCCTCGCACCACTGCGCGGCGCCGTCCACGGGGCAGGCTGCCTGCCGTGCACCATTGCGGGACGCCGTCATCAACGAATCATCCTATGTACCTAACCGCAGCGCAGTTGCGCATTAAAGTGAGTTTCTCAGCGATTATCTCAAAATCTGTCCGGAAAACTGATGATATCTTCCTAAAACGCTCTGCTCTGGGGAACGCTGTATT